GAGCGATCCCCCTCGCCCTCCTCGAGCCTCGCCCCTCCTCCTCGAACCTCGAGCCCTCGACCCTGGGCCTCCCAGATGGGGTCCGAGCGGATGGCTTCGGAGGATCGCGCCGCACGGCCGATGCATCAGCAAGGCGGCCCGATGTGGAGCCCGAAGTTCTCCACTCTGACGCCGCCATCGGCGATGCGGTGCGATCCTCCGGCCCCATCTGCTCGGGCCCCATCCAGGAGGCCTGCATCGACGCCCCAGACATCCGATGTATTGGTTTGCTCCCCGCATGCTAAGTGGAAGTATGTGCTTCGTCCCACCCGAGTCGCACCCGCGCTTTACACTCATTCGGCCACCTCCCCTGACCCCTCCCCTTGCCACCCGCACTCGCATCCGCCACGCGCGCACACACGCAGCGCACACAACACGCACCACGCACAATGCCAGACAGGCAGGAAGATAGGCCAAACTAACCCTGCGTAAAGCGAGGCACGCATACATGCCAAGAGACACGCAGAGGGGCCACACACAAACGCGCACACACACACACACAACCACAAACACAACGCACACAGACGCAGATATAGACGCGCGCGCATGTAGCAGCACAAGTAAGTCAGACACGCACACCAATCATAGCCACTCACGTGGTACGCACACCACACAAAAACGCATCATACATACACGCATACAGCAACACACACACACACACACACACACACACGTCACTATCCGTTTCAGGCTCGCAGGGCGTGGCATGAGTGGCACTTTCTCGACACCGCAGGGGGTGCACAGGAGGTGGTCACTGACCGCGGTCTCTATCCGCTTCAGTCTCGCGAGGCGCGGCATGAGTGGCATTTGCTCGACACAGCAGGGGGTGCGCAGGAGATGGTCCTTGAGCACGGTCTCTATCCGCTTCAGGTTCGCAAGGCGTAGCAGGCGAGGCACTTAAGGCGTCCAAAACCCAGATAGCAGAGCAGTTCTGCGCCCGCAGAGGCCATCCAATCAGCCGATAAGCTTCTGGGAGACGCTTGCAAAGAAGCTTGAACGGATGCCCCGGAGCCGTGCAAGCTTGAAGTGGGAGCTGCGCAGGAGCCCAGGGAGCGTTGCGAAGGAGCTACGGAAAGGCTTGCGGCACACGTATGGGGAACGAGTAGGAAAACGTTTCCGTGACACGCTGCGAGTTCCAGCATCTTTCTCCAGCGACGCCTGCCCGTCAGCCGTGGAGAGGAAGCTGGCTTACATTTGCCTGCCGGCTTCTAATCTGAAGCACCCTTAGCCCTTCAAGGAGCTATCCGGGAATGGGAGCTGCGCCGGAAGGAGCTGCGCAAAGGCTTACGGCACACGCACTGCGAACGAGTAGGAAAACGCTTCTGGGACACGCTGCGAGTTCCAGCAACGTTCTCCGGTGATGCCTGCCCAGCAGCCGTGGAGAGGAAGCAGACCTACCTTTGCCTGCCATCGTCTAACTGGAAACTCTTTTAGCTCTCCAAGAAGGCTCTCCGGGAACTTTCTCGACACCACAGGGGGCGCACAGGGGTGGTACCTGAACACAGTCGTTGTCCGCTCCAGGCTCGCAGGGCGTGGCAGGCGTAGCAGCTCCTCGACATCGCAGCGGGTGCGTAGGAGGTGGTCCCTGTCCGCGGCTTGTATCCGCCTCAGGCTCGCAAGGCGCGGCAGGCGCGGCGTTTTCTCGACAGCACAGGGGGTGCGCAGGGGGGAGTCCACAAGCACGGTCCGTATCCACTTCCGAATCGCGACGCGTGGCAGGCGTGGCGCTCTCTCGACACCACAGGGGGGGCGCATGGGGTGGCAGTTGAGCACGGCCTCTATCCGCTTCCGACTCGCAGGGCGTGGCAGGCGCAGCACTTCCTCAGCACCAGAAGCGGGCCGCAGGGGCGGGGCCCTCATCCGCGCCAGGCTCGCAGGGCGTGGCAGGCGCGACACTTCCTCATTGGAGGGTGTGCGCGGGGGGGTCGGACGTTCCGTCCGCTTCGGGCTCCCAAGGCGTGGCAGGCGCCGCATTGCCTCGACGCCAGAGGGGCGCGCAGGGGGTGGGGAGCAGCGCGGGCGAGGGCTTGCGTATCGAATGGCCTTCGGCCAATCCTGCCACCGTGCCTGGGCTGTGGGTATGAAGCCTGTTGGTTGTTCGTTGGGATCTCGTGGGGGGGCAGTGTGGGCGCCTCTTTTGGGTCTCTTGGAGGCCTCTTGGGGGCCTCGTGGGGCCTCCTGGACGCCTCTCGGGGCGGAAGGCTCGGATTTTCGGTTCAGGTTCCCTCTCTTGGAGCCCTTTTGGGGGCCGTCCAGGGGCCCTCTTGGGCCGTTTGGGGCGCCTCTTGGGCCGTCTTGGGGCCCTCTTGGGCCGTCTTGGGGCCCTCTTGAGCAGCTTTGGGGCCCTCTTGGAGGCTGGGGCGGTCTCGGGGGCCTCTGGGTCCGTCTGGGAGAGAGAGTGGGAAAGCATAAAAGGCGAGAACGCCAAAATCTATCGAAAACCTATGGAAAATCCATGAGTTTGCCTTCTTGGGGCCCTGTCCGGAGGCTTCTTGGAGGCTTCTTTGGAAGTCTTGGAGGCCTCTTGGGCCGTCTGGGGGCCATCTTGAGCGCCTTGGGGGCTTCTTGGGGCCCTCTTGGCTCGTCTTGGTGCCCCCCTTGGGCCCGAAAACTTCACGCGAGAACGCTGCCCGGCGCCCCCGGGGCACGCGCCGAGCCCCGCCAAATGTCGCGATTTGGGGCCCGGGCCCATCAAAGACCCCTCAGGGGTGAGGATCGAGGCGTAGAAGATCTGGCAGAGGACCTGAGAGGACACGCGAGCTCCGCGCCCCGAGGCACGGTGGCGGATCGTTCGTGATTGTAAACGCTTGGGCCCAAGCCCGTTCGAGTACGCCTGCGATCGCGGCGGTGACGCGTGTGGAGAGCGCTCAACATGCACTCTGCCAAGGGTACGCCCTGCAAGTTGTAACGTTGCTGCTAACACACGGGGCGTAACATGTGCACGTGGGGTTCCGCACTAGCGGAGTTTCAAGATGCGGTCCCTCGAGGTCGCGACCTTTCCTTTAGGCCAGTTTGTCGTCACCAGCCGTTGTTCGACGGTATCGGGACCTGGGACCTGGGAGGCGGCATCCACAAGCTGAAAAATCAAAACAATATGCCTTCATTGTTGTACTGCGTTGGAGGCGTGGGATCCTCCGCACTGCGTCCGTCCAAATCCTACCGCGATCCTCCTCCTCAAACCTCGATCCTCCTCCTCTTCCTCCTCCTCTTCCTCCTCCTCCTCCTCTCCTCCTCCTCCTCCTCCTCCTCTGGCGGTGCGTCCCGACCAGGATTGCATGGGGGAGTCCAGCCATGGCGACGGGAAGCTGTCTGGGCCCCAGTGAACGGCGGATCATGGAAGAGACAACAACAGCAAAACGTGCGTGCCATCCCGGCCAGATGTTTTACGCTCTCGGGACTGAGAGGTGGCGCCGTGAGGCCGTAAGAGCAAGATAGAGTTTGACGCCGCGATGTGTTTTTTGTTTTAGAAAAATGTAAAGGACCCTCCTCCTCCTCGTCCTCCTCCTCTTCCTCCTCCGTCTCGTCTTCTTCCCCCTCCTCCTCCACTTCCTCCTCCTCCTCTTCATCCTCCTCCTCCTCCTCCTCCTCCTCCTCCTCCTCCTCCTCCTTGGCTTTTCAAGTGCCTCACCAGGGTCCAAGTGCGGGCATGGCGCTGGCAAGAGCAGCACTAACCGGCAGCCTTTGCCCTCAACGAGTCGAGCTCGGGTATGTTACATTTTGCGCTCGCACGGGCGCTATTTAGGAGCTTGTCGCATTGTGGAGACACGCCCAGCGATCAGAATCATTGCATGGGAAGGTCGCCTTGGACACGCCGCGGCATGGTGGAATTCAACGAGCCGAATCAGATATTTGTCATGGTAGGACGCCTGGGCCAATTCGATTGCCGCTGGCCGACGCTACGCCGTTTGGGCGCACGGATCATGCGACAGGATGCATACAGCGTCTACTTTCTTTAACAGTTAAAGCAGACCGCGCTGTCGTCACAGGAACATTGCAAGCTGCTCGCTTTATGTGTTCACATGTTCGCCTACTCTCCTCCGTCAGCTGGCGTCTGCATGTGTAAATCCAGGGGAATGGCAACAACTGCCACTCGCCTTGCGTACTCGCATTGTGGATGCTTTCTGTGCAGCTGGCACTGGACACCGAGCATGCTCCCATTCAGTTTGTGACGTCGTGGCGCTGCGTGCTGCGCACAGCCAGCTGCACACGAAGCTGCTTACGTCGTTTCTCCTCCTCCATCCTCCTCCCCAAACCTCCTCCTCCTCCTCCTCCTCCTCCTCCTCCTCCTCCTCCTCCTCCTCCTCCTCCTCCTCCTCCTCTCGATTCGGTCACATGGGTACGGAAAGAATGGGGGCGAAGACCGACAGCAGTTACTCCTTAGTTTGAAAAGACTCGCTGTCGGTGCCACATCGGTCGATGTCGACTTGAGACAGAAAGTTGCCTGCACAACAGCGGCCGCCGTTGGGTTTCGGACGCTCGCTGTGGGGCATACGCGCCCATTCTGGGCCTGTCAATTCTCGGCGGCGAACGAGGGGGGAAGTGAGAAGGAGGAGGCCTTCTCAGAAGGCGGCGGGACTTCTCAGAAGCCCTCCAGCCTTCTGAGAAGTTGTCTGCGTCTTCGGCGAAGGCTTATATTTTTCAGATAACGCCGGAGGACTTCCGACCCTTCCGAGAAGGCCCGCGCCTTTTCATTTCCCCCCCCCCCAGGCTGGCCGCCGAAACTCCTCGACCCTTGCACCTGCTGGATCGATCGGGCCCAGACATCTGGCCGCTCCAAATTTTTCGATGCGCGGGCCCCGGAGGTCCGGACCACTTCCCTGGGTCCGGTTTCTCGTCCCGAGTCGTGTCTTGACGCTCCCGAGGCCCGGCCTCGGCCCCCGGGGGCCGAGCACGGCCGGAAGCCGCCCGCTCCAAGGTTTCCCGGAGCGTCGGTTCTCCGGGCACCTCGATCGATCGCCCCC